AGACACCTTTCAAAAGAGGACATCCAGAAAGCCAAGAGACATATGAAAACATGCTCAAAGTCACTAATCATCCGAGAGATGCAAATCAAAACAACAATGAGGTACCATCTCACACCTGTCAGACTGGCTATCATCAACAAATCAACAAACGACAAGTGCTGGAGAGGATGTGGAGAAAAAGGAACACTTGTGCACTGCTGGTGGGAATGCAGACTGGTGCAGCCACTATGGAAGACAGTATGGAGTTTCCTTAAAAAACTGAAAATGGAACTCCCATTTGACCCTGTGATCCCACTTCTAGGAATATATCCCAAGAAACCAGAAACACCAATCAGAAAGGATATATGCACCCCTATGTTCATAGCAGCACAATTCACCATAGCTAAGATCTGGAAACAGCCTAAGTGCCCATCAGTAGATGAATGGATTAGAAAACTGTGGTACATCTACACGATGGAATACTATGCTGCTCTAAAAAGGAAGGAACTCTTACCATTTGCAACGTCATGGATGGAACTGGAGAGCATTATGCTAAGTGAAATAAGCCAGTCAATGAAGGAAAAATACCACATGATCTCACTCATTCATGGATAATAGAGACCATTATAAACTTTTGAACAATAATAGATACAGAGGCAGAGCTCCCTCAAACAGATTGTCAAACTGCAGCAGGAAGGCCGGGGAGGGTTGCGGGGCAGGAGGTAGGGGGGTAGGAGATCAACTAAAGGACTTGTATGCATGCATAGAAGCATAACCAGTGGACATAAGCATGGGGGGATAGGGGAGGCTAGGGGACTGTCTAGGGCGGGGGGATAAAATGGACACATATGTAATACCCTTTGTAATACTTTAAGCAATAAAAAAAAAAAAAAAAAAAAAAAAAATAAAAATAAAAATAAAAAATATACTTTATTGATTTTTTAAAAATATATTTTATTGATTTTTTTACAGAGAGGAAGGGAGAGGGATAGAGAGTTTGAAACATTGATGAGAGAGAAACATTGATTAGCTGCCTCCTGCACACCCCCTACTGGAGATGTGCCCGCAACCAAAGTACATGCCCTTGACCGGAATCGAACCTGGGACCCTTCAGTCCGAAGGCTGACGCTCTATCTACTGAGCCAAACCGGTTAGGGCTATCCAGGCTACTGTTGATGGGCTGTCAGTGTTCTCCCTTATAAACAAAGACAAGAGTGCGCATGTATCTTAGTCTGCCACTTGCTGTTTTTCATGTGACAGTCTCTGTGTATGAGTTATATACATTTTTTAAAAAATATATCAACATATCTTTTAGGAGATTAGTGATTTTTAAAAATCCATTGTTAATTTTCTAAGAAAACAGTTATGATCTGATAAAGTAAGTTATTTTTCAAAATACAGGAATATTAATGTAGGCATAGGAATTTATATTGTAATTGGTTCCAAAGAGGGCACAGGGTAAAACAAGTTGAGAAATGCCTGCCTGAGGCATTGGGTCAGGAAAGAAAGTTAGTACTGCTCTCTCTAATTGTGCACTGGGCCTCAGTGTGCCCCATCAGGGTGTGCATGGGCCTCAGTGTGCTCTGTCGGGATGTGCACGGGCCTCAATGTGCTCCATTGGGGTGTGCACTGGGCCTCAGTGTGCTCCATTGGGGTGTGCATGGGCCTGGTGTGCTCCATAGGGGTGTGCACTGGTCCTTGGGGTGCTCCATCGGGATGCGCACTGGGCCTCAGTGTGCTCCATTGGGGTGTGCACTGGGCCTCAGTGTGCTCCATTGGGGTGTGCACTGGGCCTCAGCGTGCTCCATTGGGGTGTGCACTGGGCCTCAGCGTGCTCCATTGGAGTGTGCACTGGGCCTCGGTGTGCTCCATTGGGGTGTGCACTGGGCCTCAGTGTGCTCCATCGGGATGCGCACTAGTCCTCGGTGTGCTCCATTGGGGTGTGCACTGGGCCTCAGTGTGCTCCATTGGGGTGTGCACTGGGCCTCAGTGTGCTCCATTGGGGTGTGCACTGGGCCTCAGTGTGCTCCATTGGGGTGTGCACTGGGCCTCAGTGTGCTCCATTGGGGTGTGCACTGGGCCTCGGTGTGCTCCATAGGGGTGTGCACTGGGCCTCGGTGTGCTCCACTGGGGTGTGCACTGGGCCTCGGTGTGCCCCATTGGGGTGTGCACAGGCCTCAGTGTGCTCCATTGGGGTGTGCACTGGGCCTCAGTGTGCTCCATAGGGGTGTGCACTGGGCCTCGGTGTGCTCCATTGGGGTGTGCACTGGGCCTCGGTGTGCTCCATAGCGGTGTGCACTGGGCCTCAGCGTGCTCCATTGGGGTGTGCACTAGTCCTTGGGGTGCTCCATTGGGGTGTGCACAGGCCTCAGTGTGCTCCATTGGGGTGTGTACTGGGCCTCAGTGTGCTCCATAGGGGTGTGCACTGGGCCTCGATGTGCTCCATTGGGGTGTGCACGGGCCTCGGTGTGCTCCATAGGGGTGTGCACTGGGCCTCTGTGTGCTCCATTGGGGTGTGCACGGGCCTCGGTGTGCTCCATAGGGGTGTGCACTGGGCCTCGGTGTGCTCCATCGGGGTGTGCACTGGGCCTCAGTGTGCTCCATCGGGGTGTGCACTAGTCTTTGGGGTGCTCCATTGGGGTGTGCTCTGGGCCTCGGTGTGCTCCATTGGGGTGTGCACAGGCCTCAGTGTGCTCCATTGGGGTGTGCACTGGGCCTCGGTGTGCTCCTTTGGGGTGTGCACTGGGCCTCGGTGTGCTCCATTGGGGTGTGCACAGGCCTCAGTGTGCTCCATTGGCGTGTGCACAGGCCTCAGTGTGCTCCATTGGGGTGTGCACGGGCCTCGGTGTGCTCCATTGGGGTGTGCACGGGCCTCGGTGTGCTCCATTGGGGTGTGCACGGGCCTCGGTGTGCTCCATTGGGGTGTGCACGGGCCTCGGTGTGCTCCATAGGGGTGTGCACTGGTCCTTGGGGTGCTCCCTCTGATTGTGCATTGGGCCTCGGTGTACTCCCCATGTATAATGCAGGAGGAAGGGTGAGTGCTCTCCCCAGAGGCAACCAGGGCCCTGTATCAAGACCATCCTTTTCAGAGGTGTTTGTGCTTATGAGGTGTGTGCATAAATTCCGTTAGTTTTGTTTCTAACCCCACTAGCATGATCCTGTGCTCTGTCTGCACCTTCCTGTTTTCACTTAAGATATCTTAATTCGCCGAAACCGGTTTGGCTCAGTGGATAGAGCGTCCGCCTGCGGACTGAAAGGTCCCAGGTTCGATTCCGGTCAAGGGCATGTACCTGGGTTGCGGGCACATCCCCAGTAGGAGATGTGCAGGAGGCAGCTGATCGATGTTCCTCTCTCATCGATGTTTCTAACTCTCTATCTCTCTCCCTTCCTCTCTGTAAAAAATCAATAAAATATATTTTAAAAAAAAAAAGATATCTTAATTCATTCCAAGTCCACAAATAGACCTGCCCATTCTCTCAGCTGCAAGATGTTCCCTCTCCACCTTACAGAGCCCTGTGAGCTCAATGCTGTTGCCAATATTCCTTATGATTTTCGTAACATTTTCTTCTCTTTAGTTTACTTTATTGTAAGAATATAGTATATAATACATAGAGTGTACAGAATAGGTTTTAATTAACCATGTTGTCGTTAAAGCTTCCAGTCAACAATAGGCTCGTATTAGTAGTTAAATTTTGGGGGAGTTAATAGTTAATACGTGGCCCTCTCCAGGAGACTCAGTTGGTTGGTATGTCATCCCGGACACTGAAGGTTTGCAGTTCGCTTTGCAGATCAGTTCCCCTCAGGGCACATATCTAGGTTGCAGTTCGATCCCTGGATAGGGCTCATACTAGAGGCAACTGATGGATGTTTTTCTCTCTTTCTCTCTCCCCTCTCCTTTTCTCTCTCTCTAAAAATCAGTAAAAACATACTCTTGGGTGAGGATTAAAAAAAAGTTAGTAAGTGGATTTTTCAACTGCGCAGGGGGTTAGTCAGAGATCAGCTGCAGTGCTGTTTGGTGTGTGTGGAAATGGAGGCTCCCGGGCGAGCAGCAGAGCAGGGTGGCCCAGGCTTGGCCTTGCATGACCTTGGGCAGGGGCCTCAGGAGTGCAGAACTGGAACACGCTGCCTGGTAGCGGGGGATGGGGGTAAAGGGGTGGGGGCGGGGAAGGCAATTCTCGGGCTTATTTACATCGCTGTGATTGTGGAGGTTGCCTGCTCTCTGAATTCTTGTATTCCTAGCAAATGTTTTGTTTTTCCAACTGTTCATGTGGCTGTTTTATAGACATAAGCAAAATCCATAGAGGTTTCAACAGATACTGCCACTTTTGTGGGGTGGGTAAAAAATGAGGGGTGTGGACAATTTCATTCAGCCTCCTTTTTTTCTTCTTCTTGGTCTCTGGTCACTTTTACTTACTTTTCCCTCCCTCCAGACAGAACAGTTTGCAGAGATCTGAAGCACACGCTCCCCCAGTGAATCCTAATCATGAACAACAGACTAGCTAATGGCTCTGAAGCCAGGCTCCCTCTTGCTGGGGCTGCTTCCTTCTCCTCCATGCCCCTGCCCCAGTGGGAGCCTCTGTCCCTGACCAGTCCTGGCAGAGCCCTTCCAGGGAGTTAGGTCGGTGGCTCTTGCCTTTGAAGATCTTCAGCTTCTCTGGCTAATGAATGCTTCCTTTTACTCTTGGTTTTCTTTAACAAAACATGGGTCACTTGTACACTTGAGCTTGTCATTTGTCCCGGAGAAATTTAGCACTGTCTCTTCCTCATTCGAGGCTCAGGGGCTGAGAAAAAAGGTAGCTGCCCCTCTTTGATCAATTAATTGCTGCCTGACTTCAGGTGGCCATTCCTGGGAACAGATGGTCTCTGTCCTTACTGAGCTCTTGCTCTCTCCCACCCAGAGGTCCTGTCAGCTCTCCCCAGCTCAGACACATTGTGCCAAAATGCCCGAAGGTGTTTGGAGAGGGTGGGACTCAGGCCTTCCTGCCCAGGACTCACGGCTCCCCTGATCTGTCCCCACACAGGGAAGAGTGGATGCGGGCCATCCAGATGGTCGCCAATAGCCTCAAGCAGCGGGGCCCAGGCGAGGACCCCATGGAATACAAGTGTGGCTCCCCTAGTGATTCTTCTGCGGCTGAAGAGATGGAAGTGGCAGTTAGCAAGGCACGGGCCAAGGTGGTAAGTGCTTGGGGGGCAGAGCTGCCAGTAAGTGAGCATGCCTCCCCCACAGTGTTGGCCCTATCACCATGCAGAGTGTGAGGGGCCCCGGCCCGCCATGACTGCCCTGTAGCATGGGTGATCTCACGGTGTAGATGCCCCAGGGCTGCTCTGTGCCCACTTCCTCCTGAGAAGTCATTACAACTTGTCCACCCCTCGCCCTAGCCAGTTTAATTTAGTGGATAGAGCGTTGGCCCTTGGACTGAAAGGTCCTGGGTTCGATTCTGGTCAAGAGCACGTATCTCGGTTGCAGGCCCTGTCCCTGGCCCTGGTTAAGGCAGTGTGGGAAGTAACCAGTTGAGTGTCTCTCTCACAGAGATGTCTCTCTCTCTCTGTCTCTCCCGCTCCCTCCCACTCTCTCTAAATATACATATATCTCCATATCCTCAGATGAGGATTAACAGCAAGAAAAGACCCCCCCGCCCCACATCAGATCCCTCCCAGGGCCTCACGTCTGGGAGAGTTGAGTGCTGGGAGAGCCTGGTCTGAAGGCCACTTCAGAACCAGCAGTTGCTGCCCAGAGCCTCCCTTCCTGCTCCTGCTGGAGCATTTTGGCAGCAGTGTCCTTTGATTTTCCTTTTCTTTTGTGAAAATTTTCTCCCACGGGCCGTGTGCCAAGTTGCACTGATGGGCCTGCTCTCTCCCCACCCCTGGCAGACCATGAATGACTTTGACTATCTCAAGCTCCTCGGCAAGGGCACCTTCGGCAAAGTCATCCTGGTGCGGGAGAAGGCCACCGGCCGCTACTACGCCATGAAGATCCTACGGAAGGAGGTTATCATCGCCAAGGTGGGTGCTCCCCAGGCTGCCCTTGGCTGGCCTGGGACACACACACACACACACACACACACACACACACACACACACACACACCACACACACACCACACCCCCACACCCACACACCCACACACACCACACACCACACACACACACCACACCCCCACACCCACACACACCACACACCACACACCACACACACACACACACACACATACACACACACACCACACACCCCCCACACACACACACATACACACACACACCCCACACCCCCCCCACACACACACAGATACACACACCACACACACACACCATACACACACACACACACACCCCACACCCACACACACACACACACACACACACCACACACACACACCACACCCCCACACCCACACACCCACACACACCACACACCACACACCCACACCCACACACACACACACACACACCACACCCCCCCCCACACACACACACCCCACACCCCCCACACACACACACACCACACACCACACACACACACACCCATACACACACATACCACACACACAGATACACGCACCACACACACACACACACACACACACACACACACACACACCCATACCCATACACACACACACCACACACACACACACAGATACACACACCACACACACACACCATACACACACACACACACACCACACACACACACAACACTTACTTGTTCCTTCTGCTGCCAACGTCTCATTTCTCCGCCAACCTATTCCTCTGGGTTCAGGCCTGTAAATCTCCAGGCTGGCCTGCCTGCTGAGCCCCCGCCCCACACTCTGGGTGCCTGGGAAGGGACGTGGAGAGTCTGGTCTCATCCAGCAGGCACTATCAGGGCCTGAAAGGAGGTGTCCCCATAGGCCGTGAGGGTGGGGGCTTGGCTCAGGGTGTCTCAGTAGGAGGCTGGGCCAGGAATGGAATTCTATTCCTTTTATTTTTCTTTAAATGGAAAATTCCTAACATACATAAAATTTTTAAAAGAAAAATAAATATAATGGACTCCCATGTAGCCTTCATTCAGCATCAATAATTATCAACATTTGGCCAATCTTGTTTTGTTAGCTCTGCCCTCCCCCTTCTTTCTCCTGGAGTATTTTAAGGCATGTTTTAGACAGCATAGAATTTACCCATACGCACTTAGAGATGTATCTTCAACAGGTGAAGATGTTAAATACTGTAATTGTGGTACTGTGGCCATATTCAACAAGATGAACAAACCCAGTGTCATTGGTCCAAGGCAGGGTTTCTCAGCCTCAGACACTTGGGCTGATGCCTCTGCTATGGGGTCATGCTTTGTACTGTGGGTGTGGAGCAGTGACCCGTCTCCACCCAGGAAAGCGGTAGCTCCCTTCTGCCCTTCCCCCTGAGTTGTAACAATCAAAGATGCCTTCAGACATCGTTACCAATTACGCCCTGGGCGTAGACTTTCCCAGAGGTGGTTCAGGCCTGTCAGCAGCTCTTGGTGACGGCGGAGCCTGTGTTAGAGTCAGCGGGAGGGCTTGTCCAACCACAGCCGGGCCCACTCTGTTCTGGTGGGTCCGAGGAGGGGCCCAAGAGTCTGCTTTTCTCCAAGTTCCAAGGCAACACTGATGCTGCCCCTGTGGGACCACACAGAACCGTTACTCCACAGCCTGGAGTCCTAATTCTAGATCCAGTTTTTCTGGGAAGAACATTTATAGGTGGTGATTCCCACAGCCTGTGACATCACCTCAGGAGTCTCATAATGTCTGCTTGTTCCCTCTTAGGGATGTTAGAATTGTTCTGTGGGCTCAGGAGGCGACGGCCTGATCCCTTCATTGTAAAGTCCCCACCACCCTCTCCCCTTGTGGTTTGGAGAGCAAACCACTGAATGTCCTTGCCTTGGTCCCTTGTTCCTTAGGGCTTGTGGATGGTAATGTGCCACTCCTGCCCTTCTCGCTCTGCATAATGGCTAGGAATGGGGTTGTTGCTCCCCCATCCCTTAGGCTGGGGGCATGCATGCTGTCGCCCACCAGCCCCTCACCTGGCCTCTGTCTGTCTGCAGGATGAAGTCGCCCACACAGTCACCGAGAGCCGGGTCCTCCAGAACACCAGGCACCCGTTCCTCACTGTGAGTGGGACTCCCTCAGACCCGTGCACGTGGGAGCCTCCAGGCCGGCCCCATTGGACAGACTCAGGGAGCAAGCCCAGCCCTGCCGCTGGGAAGCACAGACTTAGTGTCGGCAGGTGACTGGGCCAGGTGTTGCTGGGCTCCCCAGGTGGCCTGAACCAAAACCCCAGAGGTGGCAGCTTCTTCCTAGACAATGGCGTCATGTCAGCACCTCGAACGACAGGTGAAGTGACATTGCAGGTGTCCAGGAGAGCGTGGCTGCCATCTCTATGAGTCTGAGGCACTTAGCCCAGCTGGTCAAAGTGGGAACGTTATTTTTTGTTTTTATGTACAATGTGATACAGATGTATCATTGTGCTGCCTGTCAGCTTACGCTGAGCAGACGCCTCTTTGGGCTGCAGCTATTAGTTAAATGGACCAGGTTGAGGATGGCTTATGGGTTGTTTCTGTACCTCGGTTGCTGTCTAGGTGTTCCATTAAGCCACAATATTTGTTCACATAAGATCTTACGAGGTACTTCCAGGCAGAAGACGGAAAACAGTGGAGTTCAACCAAGGGTTCTGAGCCACCCTCTTTAGAGCTCCTGAAAGCAGTGTGAGAACCACTCTGTTCGCAGATCTCCTGTCCAAGCTCAGGACAGCTCCAGCTCCCAGCCAGCGGACCTCGTGTGTGTGTGTGTGAGTGTGAGTGTGTGTGTGTGTGTGTGTGAGAGAGAGAGAGAGAGAGAGAGAGAGAGAGAGAGAGAGCGCGCTTAATGCATTTGACTGTAAAATAGAGGAGGAAGAGAGATGTGAAATGGCTCTGCTTGCTCAAAATAGTCTCTCTCCTGACCTTGCCTCTTGGAAGCTCAGTGGCAGGCAGAGGACAGATTGTTCAGCACAGTAACCTCTCCCGGCCCTCAGAGCCATGAGCCCCCTCACACAGCCCAAAAGGCGGAGCTGAGGGTTGAAACCCCCCGACTGCCGACGCCCATGGCCAGGCCGGTGGGGAGGAAGGGGGGCTGGGGTGGGGTGTCTAGGCTGAATCGGCAGAGCCCCAGCCACTCTCCCTCCCCGCAGGCGCTGAAGTACGCCTTCCAGACCCATGACCGCCTGTGCTTCGTGATGGAGTACGCCAACGGTGGGGAGGTGAGCCGTGCTGCCCGCCTGGATTTCTGGGTATCTCGTTCCCAAGTGTGGGGGGGAGGGAGCTGGAGGGCAGAGGAAGACTTCCCGGGAGTCAGCTGGTCCTGTCCTCCGCGCCTTGAGGAAGGCATCGTCATCTTCATTTTTCAGGTGGGGAAACAGCTCAGAGAGGTTAGCGGCTTGCTCAGATTCACACAGCTGGTGGGAGGGTACAAACCGAGTCCCGCGCTGTGGCAGGGCGGTGAGGGAGGTTGGATGGCAGTGTAGAGGATGTTCTTGGAGGACAACCTCCAGAGAAAGCGTATGAGGCCTTCTGCTTTCCCAGTTCTGCTGCAGAGCATCAGCCCCTCACTGGCCCCACTCCATGACCTTACTCCTCTCACACGGTGTGACTCCCTGGCTCCTGATCCTGGGCTTCATCTGTCCCTTGTGGTCTCACAGCTGTGGCCACTTGCTCACGACTCGTGTCCTCTGCTTCCTCGCTGTCACTCCCTCATTCACTATCCCCTTCATGCAGGATGGCCCAGGACTGTCCCCTGCTCTCCCTGCGGTGTCATCCTTCACGTCAACTCTTCTCTCAGTTGGTCCTTTTTGGTTGTCACTTGCCGGTTCATGGAGTAGATGTGACGTTTTCACTGGCCCTCCAGGCGGGGTTCCATCCTTCCCTCCTCTGGGCCAGGGGCCTGATGTCCTGCCCCCCTTTCCCTCCTCCGGCAGCTGTTCTTCCACCTGTCCCGGGAGCGCGTCTTCACGGAGGAGCGGGCCCGCTTTTATGGTGCAGAGATCGTCTCGGCCCTGGAGTACCTGCACTCGAGGGATGTGGTGTACCGCGACATCAAGGTGAGTGTGTGGTCGCCTCCTGTGGAGGGCCCAGGCTGGCCCAGGGCGCACATGCAGGACCCACGCCAGGGAGCCAGGGAGGCTGAGCTTCCCCCCAGGGAGGATCTGTCTTGTCCATGTGCCTGTGTCTAGTTCCCTCTGGGCTCAAACCCTTCCACTGTGGCCCCTAGTAGTGATTCCACAGCAGGCAGCCCTGCATGAAGTCCCTTCTGAGCCTCTTGTGAGCACAGGCTGCTGAGCAGTGGACGGTGTAAATTGGTACAGGCGCTTTAGAAGGCAGTTTGCAGAATCCACCAGCAGTGGACATGTGCACACCCTGTGAGCCAGCCATTGTGCCCTAGGCATATGCACACAGGAACAGGTACCTGTGTGCACCTCAAAATGTGGACACATTCCTAGCAGCACTAGTCATACTAATCCCAGGTGTCCGCTGTCAGAAAATGGATGAAGTCCAGGTGGTGTGTTCACACACTGGGGCTCCACAGCAGTTAAAGAGACCACACTTCAGCCACACACAGCAGCGTGGACGCGTCTCACAGACTGACGTTGGGAAAGCCAGGACAGACGGGACAAATCTGTGTTGATGACAGGCGTATGTATAGGCAGGAGAAATTGCAAAAGAGAGCAAGGAAGTAAAATTACTTCTCTGTCCGGAGCAGGGGATGGTTAGTAATAGGGAAGGGGCACCTGGGGTGTCTGAGAGACTGGAAGTGATCTGTCTTGACTTGGAGGTTTTGCACAAAGGCCCACTAAATGGCCCATTGTGTGAAGCTTAGGAAAAAGGAGAGAGATACTGTCCCTCACATCCAAAGTGGGGGAGAGGAGGCAGGGTGGAACAGGACCCAGCCCTGTTTTTTTTCCAGCTCCCCTGGGGGTTGGCCAGGGACTGGGGAGGTGTGAGCCTCAGAGGGTGAGGGCTTAACCCTGTGCTGGGGTGTATCCCATAGCTCAGCCTGGAGCCCATGATGTGACAGCCCCCTCCAGGGCAGGGCTGGGCACCTGGGGTTTCAGGGAGGTGGCAGGAAGCCTGGGAAGACATGTTCCTGATACACTGACTTTTCCTACAGCTGGAAAACCTCATGCTGGACAAAGACGGCCACATCAAGATCACTGACTTTGGCCTGTGCAAAGAGGGCATCAGTGATGGGGCCACCATGAAGACCTTCTGCGGGACCCCCGAGTATCTGGCACCCGAGGTGTCTGGGGCTGTGATGCCGAGGGAGGCGGGGCCCCGGGACCGGATGCTTCCCCCACCTAGACGCTCTGAGGGCCGGGCTCCAATTCCTTAGATTGCCCTCCCCAGCCCCAGGCAGGGCCTTGTCCCCACTGGACCAGCCAGCTCCTAGGCCCCAGAGTATGGTCCTGGCCCCTCATCGCCCCTCCCCATCAGGTCCTGGAGGACAACGACTACGGCCGGGCTGTGGACTGGTGGGGGCTGGGCGTGGTCATGTACGAGATGATGTGCGGCCGCCTGCCCTTCTACAACCAGGACCACGAGCGCCTCTTCGAGCTCATCCTCATGGAGGAGATCCGCTTCCCGCGCACGCTCAGCCCCGAGGCCAAGTCCCTGCTGGCTGGGCTGCTTAAGAAGGACCCCAAGCAGAGGTGAGGGCTGGTGACTGCCCTGCGCTGCCCAGCACCACCTGCTGCCACCGTCCCCCCAGCCCAAAGGGGCAGTGTCCACAGGCGCACGCACTGGTGGGTGTGCTGTGTGGTCCCCACAGCCTCTGATAGTCCCCACAGCTGGCACTCGGAGCACTCCCTGGGTCAGGCCTCTCTCTAGCTCTCTGCCCGCACTACCTTGTTTTATGGGGATGCTGAGGAGCAGGGCAACCCTGATCTGGCCTTGGGTGGCCCAGTCATACGTGGCAAAGCCGGGATGTGAGGTGGCCAAATGCCCTCTCAGTTCACATCCTGGTCTTGGCCCAAGTTGCAGTCTCCTGGCTCTGGCCCTAGGCACGAGTTCCCGCCTGGCCTCACTTTCCTCCTCTGTGAGGTGGAGGTCTGTGGCCGGGACAGGCTTATTAAGGTTGTTCAGGGCCTGCATGTCACAGGCTCAGGCCTGCACCGAAAGCGTCTCCCAGAACCTGGCTGCCCCGGGAGGCGGGTGCTCATGGCCGTCTCTGCCCAGGCTCGGCGGGGGGCCCAGCGATGCCAAGGAGGTCATGGAGCACAGGTTCTTCCTCAGCATCAACTGGCAGGATGTGGTACAGAAGAAGGTGAGTGCCACCACCCACTGCTGCCAGCAGGAGCTCGGCCCCTGTGGGTGACCTTGGCCAAAGCCGCCTGGCCACAGGGTCCTGAGCCGGGGCTCCTCTCCTCCGCAGCTCCCACCACCCTTCAAACCTCAGGTCACATCCGAGGTCGACACCAGGTACTTCGATGATGAGTTCACTGCCCAGTCCATCACAATCACACCCCCGGACCGCTGTGAGTGTCTGAGCCCCGCATCCCGTGGGCTGGCCGGGCGGTGGAGGGCGTCTGCTGCTGACCCAGTTTTCTGGGAGGAAGCTCGCAGGGTTTTTACTGTTAGTCGTCTGTGGGCCCAGTGAGGCTCACCACAGCTACTGGGTCCCCCCTGTTCCAGTTGTCCAGGCAGAGGTCTGGGTAGGAGATGCTTGGGGAGTCGTCAGTACCGAGATGGCAGATCCATCGTTGTATTTCCAGACCACCCAGGTCTTTGGAGCCAGATTATTCATTGACTCTGTAGCTGTTTGAGGTCTTACTCTCACCCGCCCAGTGCTAGGCTCTGCTGGAGACAAGGCAGTGATGGAGTCAGCCCTGGGCCTTGCCTTCAGGGAGTGCTCAGTCCAGGTGGGGTGACAGCCCAGAGTGGTCAGGACAGTGTGTAGGAGCACAGGGACTGGGGAAGCCCAGAGGAAATGCCTGGCTGTGGGTCAGGGAGGGCTTCCTGGAGGGGGAGACATGGCAGCTGAGACTCAGTCCTGGCAGAAGGAATGGCTGTGGGACGTCTAGAAATGAGAGCGTTGCAGAGGTCAGAGTAGATGGGGAGGGGAGAGGCAAGGGGGTGGGTGAGCAGGATGGCCTTGGCCCCTGGGAGGAGTGGGGATTGTACCAGGGCTATGGAAGGGCTTTTTTAGGAAGAGGAATAGAGTTGCATCAGGGCTTTAGAAAGACCTTTGGCTGCATGTGGAGGGTTTGTTGTGGGATGGAGTGGTGGCCAGGGCAGGAGCTGCTAAAAGAGGTGTGGGCAGACCTCGAGGCAGACTGAGGTGTGGTAGGGGAGGAGGAGGAGAGCAGGGAGATGGTGGGATGCTGAGGTGGCTAAGTGAGCAGCTCCGAGACCCTGGAGCCAGGGCTATGACCAAAGGGTGTCTGTCAGGGAGGAGGTCTGGTGGACACCTCACCAGCTGGAGTTTCTGCCTGTTGTCCTTCCTGAGGTTGATTCCCCTCTGTCCCCCTCCCCGGGAGTCTGGCCGGGGTGCTGGGCCCTCTGAAAGCCCGTCTTCCCAATCCACCTCCACTGACCCCTGCAGATGACAGCCTGGGCTCTCTTGACCTGGACCAGCGGACTCACTTCCCCCAGTTCTCCTACTCGGCCAGCATCCGCGAGTGAGCAGTGCCGCCCGCCTGCCCGCCGCCGCCGCTGCCCCCACCACCATCACCACCACGGACATGCATGGCTGCCGTTGCCGCTGGGGCAGGGGGGGGTTTGTCTTTTTGTTTTTTTGGTCTTTTTTGTTTGCCTCTCCATCCCTCACCCCTTACCCCCATTTCTAGTTTTCAGCCCTCTGCCAGACTCCTCTCAGTGGACCCAGTGGCCCTGCCTCCAGGATCCTGTCCTGCCCTCACTTTTGCGCCCAGATCAGGACTGGGGAGACTGCCGCTGCCCCAGGACCTGGCCTTTGGGCAGTTTGGGAAGAGTTTGGGTTTTGATCAACACAAGCCCCAGTGAGGAGCGAAAGCCAGGGGGGCCTGCCTGCTATCAGCCGGGCGCCCACGGCTGCCTGCTCTGTGCTATGCCGCCCTCAGAGGTGCGGACAGTGCTCTGGGGCTGCCTTCCATGCCTGTCGTTAGGCTCCGAGTGGCCTGGCAAGGGAACAGCCCTGCCCCCTCCCCACCCAGCAGCAGAAAAGCAGTAATGTCCAGGCCCAGGCAGGGGCCTTTGGGAGCTGCAGGAGCAGAGGTCCAGGGATCCCTCGGGCTGGGGTTGATTACCTGGTGGGGAACCCAGAGCGGCCAAGGGGATGGACGCTGCCTCCCTGCGCCCCACGCTGCTCTCCTGACCCTGTGGACGAAGTAGGAGGAACATTTGGGGCCCAGCCTTCCCACCCCAAGCCCCGTGCCTTACCAGGGCTTCCTTCCAGCCAGCCTTACCTCCTGCTGGACCTGGGCCTGGCCCCTCCCGGAATGGGGGCCAGGATTGCCCCTTCTCTCTGCCTGGGGTGGAGGGGTGCCAGCCTCGGCTGTTACACATCTCGCACCGAGACAGTATTGGGCCCCATGAACTTGGTTGAGGAGGGGGCAGGGATGGGCGTCTCTGGTACGTACTGGGGTGGGGGCCTCTGAGAAGGAGGCTCCAGGCCACCCCCCTCCCCCAGCCCCACGTTCTGCAGCCTTAAGGTGAACGTGTCAGTGCTATGGGCACTCGTGTGCGTGCGTGCCTTGGATTGTGTGCTGTTGGTGTCCTTGTGCATCTGAGACAGTGCACATGGGGTGTGTGTGTGCATGTGTGCTGGGTATGTATGTGTGAGAGCAAGCGAGTCCCAGCCTCAAGTGTGTGGTGTGTGTGCGTATGTGTGTGGACTCAGGCCCCTGGCCCTGACCCCAGCATTTCTTCCCAGGGGGAGGGGTGCTGGCCTAGTGTGAGAGCCACACGTGAGGTCCACTTGCTGCCCTGTCTCTCCCCCTTCCCCACCAACATCTCCGGGTGTTTGGAATGTAACTTTGTGGTTTTGATCTTCCCACCTCCTGTACTAGGTAGTTCACCGAGAGACGTGGGGTGGGTGGGGCTGGTTTGGGGGTGGGAGGTCTCTTCTTTTTGTGTGTGTATGTCATTTATCTGACAGTTCTCCCTCTTCCCCACTGGCCTTTCCCTGTTCCTCATATTTGTACGGTACAAGCAATAAAGACTCTTTTCAGACCAGGCCCACCACCCTGGGCCTTTCCTTGCTTATGGAGTGGCCCCAAGTGCCGGCTGCCTCCCACTCCCATTGCTGTTAGGTAGGGCCCTTTTAAGTTGTGCAGGCAGAGAAGGCGTCCTGGCGGGAGGTGGTGTCAAGCTCAGGCTGGAGAGGGAGGGGACTGCTGGGAGGGAAGCTGTTGAGTTTAGGAAACGGGGCCTGTGGTGGGGGGTGGTGGACAGAGGTCATCCCAGGCGCTTGGAAACTGCTTAGGCAGAAAGGCGGGGAGGGCCAGGGGCGGGAGGGCCAGGTGGCTCTGAACAAGGAGGATATGTGAGGGGTCACTGAGCCCTGTCAGGAGTGTGAGGGGGAGTATGTTCACTTCCCGAGGTGCTTGAGCCCTAGAGCAGGCATTGCCTGTGCATCTGCATCCCCCAGCCTCCATTGATGCTAAACTGGGGAGCCTCGAGGCCCCTAGTTCCCCCACAGATTCCCTGGTATAACAGGGGGTTTGTGGTGACTGTCAGCTGGGAGCACCTCAGATTGGGTCACAGCCCCTTGGTCTGGGAGTCCTCTGACAGCTGGTTCCATGCTGAGTCACTCTTCCCAGACCTTGGGGCCAGGGCTGCCAGGCTGCGCACCGGCAAGCTTCAGTCCCATTTTGCCAGAAGCTATTAGGGCTTCCCACACAGGGAGTTTTTGAGATCGTAAGTGTGGGGAGCAGAAAAGTTGAGTCCAGGAAGTCTGTTACCTGTGACCAAGACTCGAATTTTTTGGATTTTTTCCCTATTTCCTATGGACATTTTTTAAATTATAAAAGTATGCCTTGGTGGTAATCAGATAAACAGGCTTATGAAGAAAAGCCTTTTCTTCTCCCCTCTAGTCACAGTCTGAGGGGCCGGTGCTAGAGAGTCCTTTCAGGAACTCGCTCAGCTCTCCACGTGGCCCGTCTCTGGGGACCTGTCACAGGGACGGGATCCTGTAGGTAATCAGCTGCTTCCTCCGTTGAACGCAATGTCCTTAGATGCAGTGGTGCTTCTCATTCCTGTAGGACTTCTCCCAAACTGGGAATTTTAGGTGAAAGAATTTCAATAAAATTTTAACAATTAGAAAAATTAAATTTTGAGTCATCTGTTTTTTGTCATGTGCATGTAGAAAATGTCACAAGTTTTGTGTGTGTGTGTAAAGAAAAATGCAACAAAACAAAAGTGTGCAGAAGGAAGTGAGTCACCCGATCCCAGACCTGCGGCCCTGGCTGTGGGTCTCACATTACCTCCCGCACAGATGGGCGTGGCATCGCGAAGGGCTGGCTCCTCCTTTCCTGTACCCCTCTCCTCCCAGGTCACCAGGCCACGCCCTGGGCTGTGTGCTGCCACATGGAACCCGCACTCCCACCACTGCGTGTGCTCAGAGGCCGTGTGGGGTCACCGGTGAAAATGAGGTTTTTTTAGTCCCTTCACTTGGAGGAACTCCTGGTGGACATTGCTGTGATGCTTCCCAGTTGCTTCACAAGGTTCTTCAGGGTGGACACACCTCCGCTGATGCTGCCACCCCTGTGGACAAGGATTTACTTGTTCCCAGGTTTTCTGTTTGCTTTTCGCTGCCGCAGCACTGAAGTAACCGTAACAGTCCGCTCTCACTGTGCTTGTGCTTGTATTTCTGTGGCCGACATTCCAGGGTCGCTGCGTTTTGATATGTGTCAGATAGCTTTCCAAAAAAGTGTGATTCGCGTATTTTTGACGTTTATTAGAAATAATTTCAGACGGGTAGAAAACTTTGAAACTTCGAAAAATAGTGCTAAAGTGATTCTAGGGTTAGAGCAGGAAATACACAAGATGAACCTGCAGCATCCAGTCGTGTCCAGAATGAAGGACCTAGAAGAAAAGAAACCTCACTAATGGCATGTAAAGGGACACAGGAGCCAATGGGAAGAGCCTCTAATGGCCAAAGCTGAACACAATTTGAGCACCAATTTGAGCAATAAAACAGTGCAGTATTGGTTATACCCAAAATGGTGAGAACAGACATACCTGTACAGAAGTCCAATAGTTTCTGTAGATGCTCTGCCTTCAGGGAAGCATATCCCCTCCTTCGGTGTGGCTGCCAAGTGGCTTCCTTCCAAAGAGGACAGTAGAGGAGGGGCGAAGACTGACGACCACAGCAGCCGGTGATGAGTCAGCATCAGCAGTGACGAGTCATGTTGGCAGTGAGACTGATACGCAGTGAGAATGGTACCCTGTCTCTGTGGCCTTCCGCTCTAGAACAGATGCCCCAGTCTAAAAGAAAACACCAGGCAAATCCCAGCTGAGGGATGTTTTACAAAAGACCTGGCCACTGGCTCTCCACGCTGTGGAGGCTCAGAACAAGAAAAGCCTGAGAACAGCCAAGAAAAGCTTTAGGAGACAAGGAGACCAAGTGTAATGCATCCTGGATGAGGTCCCGGAACAGAGAACGGGCATGAGGTAAATGGGAAATCTGAATAAGGCACGGACCTGAATAACATTTCTGTGGCTCACTAAATTGTGGCAGATTACCACACCAGTCATGTATGAGGCGTTGATAGGGGAAATTGGGTGCGGGTACTTGGGAACTCTACTGTGTCTGCCACTTTGCATAAATCTATTTTTTTTTATTTTAAAAAGTACAAGTAATGCCCTAACCGGTTTGGCTCTGGATAGAGCGTCAGCCTGCGGAGTCCGGTCAAGGGCATGTATCTTGGTTGCGGGCACATCCTCAGTAAGGGGTGTGCAGGAGGCAACTGATCCATGTTTCTCTCTCATCGATGTTTCTAACTCTCTATCCCTCTCCCTCTCTAAAAAATCAATAAAATATATATTTTTAAAAAGTACAAATTCTCGTCTCCCCCTCACGCGATTCCCCAGTGTTTTACATTTACTCTGTTCCCGCCCCCTCCACATTCACGTATCTATCCTATAATGAGAACTTTGTCTTAACCACAGTCCGGTGATCAAGGTCAGGAAGTTAACAGTGAAACAGTGTTCTCCTCAGACCTTCATCAGATTTTGTGATGGTCACACTAATGTCCTTGTGTACCAAAAAGGAAACAATTTCCTGGCTAGGGACTCCATCCAGGCTCGCTGCTGAATCCAGTTGTCAGGTGTGAAGCTTACGGGCAGTTATTTTGCAGAATGTCCCTCAATGAGGGATTACTGCCTGTTTCCTTGTGGCTATATTCAAGCTATTTTTGACAGGAATTCCCAGAAATGATGTCCCCTTCTCAGTGCAACTTACCAGGAGGAATCTGAACATCCCATTAGCGGTGGTGACTAATCCCATGGTTAAGGTGGCGTTTGTCAGGTGTCTCCACTATCAAGTTACAACGTCCTCTTTGTAGTTAGTGTCTTGTATAGAGATACACGGAGAATGTAAATATGCAGGTTCTCACCAAAGCCCTGAGCCAGGCCGGTGCCTGCTGTGTTTAAGAACCATAGAGGACAGGTGTCTCAAGTGGAGTGAAGGAGATGGAGGGCAGAAGGAAATAGGTTAGAGAGGTAACAGCGGGATCTTGTGGTGAAGGAGCTGGGTTTACTGCATGTTTGACAGGAAGCCATTGGTCCAGCATCTCACGCTTCTATCTGCGTGCGTTGCCAGCCTCTCTGACTTCTCAATGCCTCCAGATAGCAAGCTCTTTGCTACCGCAGGGCCGCTGCTCAGGCTGTTCCCTCCGCGTGCGGTAGCTCCCCTGTCTTTGCTTTCCTGGCTCCTCCTCCTCCCAGGTTTCAGCTCCAGCGTCACCTCAAAGAGGTCCTTCCGGACAGCTATCTCTAAATTCAAACCCAGCCTTTCCACTCACTCATTAACAGATATTTACTGAGTACCATGTGCCCAGCTGTGTTCTAGGCACTGGGAACAGCGATGAAAACAGACCCGCCCTGCGCTCATGGGTTCACGTTCTAGTGAGGAGGGAGACAGTACGGCTGTTCGTGCTGAGGAGAGTAAGTATAGAGATGGGGACAGGAAGTGTTCAGGGCGATGCTTTTCATGGAGAGGGGGACATCTGAGTAAACCTTAAAGCAGCGGTTCTCAACCTGGGGGTCGCGACCCCTTTGGCGGTGGAACGACCCTTTCACAGGGGTCGCCTAAGACCATCCTGCATATCAGATATTGACATTACGATTCATAACAGTAGCAACATGACAGTGATGAAGTAGCAACGAAAATAATTTTATGGTTGGGTCACAACATGAGGAACTGTATTTAAAGGGCCAGAAGGTTGAGGACCACTGCCTTAAAGGGAGTGAGGGGCATCTGAGATAAGAGAACTTCAGGCAGAGGAACAGCCAGCGCAAAGGCCGAGGTGAGGCTGAGGATGGGCCAGGAGGCCAGTGTGGCGGGAGAGGGAGGAATGAGGGAGGTTGGGTTAGGAGATGAGCTCACAGGTGTGTGCTCACCTGTGGGAAGATAATGTAGAACCGCATGGACTTTCACTTTGAGGGGATGGGAGCTGCAATGGAGTTCTGAGCAGAGGCCAAGTGAGACCGACCTGACTGATGAGGTGTGCACAGGATCCCGGTGTTATGTCCGGGCACACGGAGGGCAGCGAGGAGCTGCCGCACTAGTCCAGGCCCAGCCCAGCGCTGGCGACTTCTCCCCATCACCCGCGCTCTGGGCCTAAGGCGGCGGCTAAGGGGATTTGCTCACCCCCGAGTTCCCACTGCCCAGAGCACAGAGGCCTTCTCTAAATGGGTGTGAAGCGACTTGTAGCTCCCATGTACTAAGCTTTGATTCTGTTAAGCCCCGAGCTGGCCACTTAACACACAATCTTAGAAAATCCTCGGGACGACTATCAATTGAAACAATCCCTACTTCATGGCTGAAGACCGTGAGGCCCCAAGGGACTGCTCCTCGCCGCGTGGTAAGTGGAGGATGAGAGCTTGGCTCCAGCTGCCTGACCTTAGAGCAGTAGTCGAATTCGCCATTGACCACGCACCTGCCCACCTGCCCAGGTGAAGCTTACTCAGCGCGCATGCGCCCAGCCGTGTTTAAAGCGCCGGCGGCCACGGATCCTCGCTCCAGTAGGAAGAGGTGGGCTCTTGGTTTCGCCCTCGACGCCAGCTTAAAAGATGCTGGTGAGCTACAGGAGCCTGGGTCCCCTCCCAGCGGGACGCTCCAGGCGCTGACCCAATCCTTCCCTGCAGAGTCCGGCAGCCGCCCTTGACCCAGAGCCTGCGAGCGCCCCAGTCCCGGACAACGTTCCCGCGGGCACGAGCGCCTCCCCAGGACCCCCGGAAAGGCCCCGGGGACGGTGCGCGCCGCCGGGGCTGGAGGAGGCGCTGAGCGCGCTGGGGCTGCAGGGAGAACGCGAGTACGCGGGCGACATCTTCGCCGACGTCATGGTGAGGCGGACGGGGAGACTCCCTGGGAGCCCCCCAGCCCCGAGGACAGCCCAGGGGGAGGGTTGGCCCAGGCCAGAGCTGCCGGGCTCGCCTAGAGTCCGTGTGATGGGCATTTCTGACCCGTCCCCCCTCCCCGCCAGCCTGTCTGCCCCTTCCCAACCCCACCCCAGCTCCCGGCTGGTTTTTCCTGCAGTTATCTTTGAATGACTGCTCCCACCCTCCCAGGACGTTTGCAGTTCCTCCTTTGGTACTTCAGACCCCTCTTACTCATCCCTCACACTTATTCGTTTAACAAATATTTAGCAATTTATCAACAATTTTTTTTTCTATCCTCCCTGTGCCTTACAAAAACTACAGAGTTTCAAAGTAAATGTAACATGTTTTGGAGCATGCTCTAGGGTTAGGTACTGGGGACGAACCGCGCACAGCCTGTCTTCATTGTGGAAGGCAAGCAAGCAAGTGTAGGTCAGAAGGGCCATAAAGACCCAAACACAGGCTGTGACAGACGCTGTCAGAGAAACACTCCAGGGATGAATTAATTTAACATACATCTTGTGAACATCTCTTCTGGGCCAGGGTCTCTGTTAGGAGCTGAGATACAGCTGGGATTTGGACAGAAATCCCCGTCCTTGTGGTGCCCGCAGCCTCGTTGGACAAACAAAATACACAATGAAACAGCCATCTCCAGAGTGGAAATAATATGAGGGAAATAAAGTGATGTGATAGGGAGGAGTATGGAGAGTCAGGGACGGTTTAGCTGAGACATGAATGACTAGAAGTCAGCAATGCAAGGAGCTGGGGATGGACCGCTTCGGGTGGAGGGAATAGTACACATATGCATAGGTACTGAGGTAGGGATACGGCTGGCATAGCCTAGGGCCAAAAGAAGGCTGGGGCAGCTGGAGTGTGAGGAGAGAGAGGGAAGAGGTGATGTTGGAGCAAGGACAGGGCCTGGGAGAGTCTGCGAGGAATTAGATTTTCTCCGGGGGGTCCTGGAAGCCGAGGAAGTGTTTGAAGCTGGGAGTTCCTTGGTCAGATTTCTGCTTTAGAAAACGGGTGTTGTGAGGAGGATGGATTTGCCTGGGAACGCTGGGGGAGATCTCAGGGGGTCCTGCGGCATGGGGGCTGACGACTGGGAGGGAGGGTAGCGAGTCCGGGTTCTAGATGGTTACGGAAGAGGAGCACATCGGGAGACGCTGGAGGCCAGTTTCGTGTGGCACTCATGCTGCCCGCAACGGGCGAGGAGGCTGCCGCACCCAGGGCTGGCGTTTAGGAGAGCGGCTGAGGCACAGGTGTGGAGAGTTAGGCCGTCCCTACCTAACCCCAGGTGTGCCCTGCGCTGCCCCAGATGGCCCTGCCCCGGACCGTGACCCCAGAGATGCGAGCACTAGTGGTGGACTGGCTGGTCCAGGTGCACGTACGTACGTAGGTACCAAGAAGGGGGTGGGGTTGGGCCTACGTGGCAGCCTGATTGTAACCTGCGCCCCTCCCCAGGAGTACCTGGGCCTGGCGGGGGACACGCTCTACCTGGCTGTGCACCTGCTCGATTCCTACCTGCGCTGCAGCCGAGTGCGCCTACACCGCCTGCAGCTGCTGGGCATGGCCTGCCTGTTCGTGGCGTGCAAAATGGAAGAGTGCGTGCTTCCCGAGGTACTTCCGGGGCGGGGCCAGGAGCCGCAGCTCCTTCTCCCGGCAGCAGTCACAGGTTCAACGCCCATTCGCAGTGATGGCGAACCTATGACACGCGTGTCAGAGGTGACACGCGAACTCATTTGTTTGGTTGATTTTTTTCTTTGTTAAATGGCATTTAAATATATAAAATAAATATCAAAAATATAAGTGTTTTACTATGGTTGCAAATATCAAAAAATTTATATATGTGACACGGCACCAGAGTTAAGTTAGGGTTTTTCAAAACGCTGACACGCCGAGCTCAAAAGGTTCGCCATCACTGGGCTGTGTGCCAAGCACCATGCCCAGCAAACACTTCATATTGTCTTGGAGTCCCAGCAGATCTGATGAGGTCGGGGCTGCCAATGTGTCCTTTTAACATTGGAGGAGACTAAGGCCCAGAGAGAGGAAGACATTTGCCCAAAGTCAAGTAGTTGGGACTTGGACTTAGTTACAGTAGTTATAATCCTTAAGGAGTGTTTACAGTTAACATGTGTAAACTCAGTGCATTATCAGAACGGCCTGGTGAAGTAGGAGCAATATCTCCGTTTTACAGATAAAGAAACGGCGTCTCAGCGCCCTGGATGTCCATGTCACAGTGCGGAGTGGTAGGGTTTGAACTCGAATCGAGGTTTCTCTGACTCTGAAGCCTATATTCCCCAAGACTTCCACACAACAAAGCAATGGTCCCATTTTACAGACCAGGAAACTGAGGTCCAGAACGCGGACAGACCCGAACCCAGGGCAGGGAGTAACAGCCAAGGTCTTTCTCCCCAATCTGCAGCCCGCCTCCCTCTGCCTCCTGGGCGCTGGCTCCTTCTCCCAGGCCGAGCTTCTGCGAGCCGAGCGCCGCATCCTGAGCCGCTTGGATTTCCGACTGCACCACCCGGGTCCACTCCTCTGCCTGGAGCTACTGGCTGCTCTGGCAGGGAGCAACCCCCAGGTGCGAGGGGAGGGGGCAGTGGCTTGGCCTGCGCGGCGAGGGGCGTGGCCTGTGCGGTACAGACGCGTGGCCTGATGGTCTGGCAGGTGATGCTTTGGCAGGTGATGCTCCTTGCCGCCTACTTCCTGGAACTGTCTCTGCTGGAGGTCGAGGCCGCTGGGTGGGAGCCCAGTCGCTGCGCAGCGGCGGCGCTGAGCCTGGCGCGCCGTGTGCTCCACGTGGCGGGCTCTGGGTTGGAGCCGGCACTTTACAGGTATGGCCACAGAGGGACACCCCCCCCCCCCCCGTGGCGGCTTCAGGATCTGCCTTCCTCATCCTTGTCTTTACTGTCTCAGAGAGTGAGAAACAATTGTTGGGGGGGGGGGGGGCCACGATGACACCTAGACTTGATTTTTCTGGGCATAAGAGAGAATGGGGTATTTGCCTAGCCTTGGGGTATCCCATTGGCTTTTCTCTGGGCGGGTCTGAGAGAGTGGGGTATTGTCCAATTTGGGGGACCCTTAATCTTGTCCAGGGTGGAATATAGGCTCTCCCAAGCCCGGAAGATGGGACTGCTGAGAATGAGAGGTCTGCTAGCCTCTAATCATAAACAGGGTGTCCCTTTAGCTGCTAGAGCCCCTATCTCTGTTAACCATGCCACCAAGGGGCTGGGTGAATTGTCTTTGTTCCCAGCAGTGCCCACGAGGTAGAGCTGGATGCCAGTCTGTCCTCAGCCCCAGTCCTTCCCTCTTCGAGCGCCCTGCCTGGCGCTAACGGCGCCCTGTGGGGAGAATCGAGGGTCTTCCGGCCCCTCCAGTCACTTTCTAGTCTAGATGATGGGCCACGTGCCCCGGAAGGTTTCCGGGACCCAAGTCAACGTGTCTTCTCGGCCTCGAGCCCCAGCTCCAAGGACAGGTCATCTCCACCGCCACCCTTTGCATCCACCTTAGTTTCTCCCTTTCCTCGCAGCCCCGCGGAGTTGGGCCCGCTGGAGCCGTGCATGGCCCGCGCGGTGCTCCGAGGCCCCGCACCCGGCCGTGCTGCCATCTTCCTCAAGTATGCGAGGCCCCAGCGTCGGGGCACCAGCCTCTTCGCCGCCCGCCTGCTCCGCTGTCCCCAGCCGGGGCCCCCCTGAGCCCCGACACCCCATCAAAAAAGTCTCAGTGTGTGTCCGTTTCCCACTTCAATAAAAGAGTTTCTTTTATTCCGAGCGCTCTCTGTCCTTACTGGTCAAATTCTGGCCCATCTCTTGCTTTTGATTGGTTACTTTCCGGGCCTCATCCCTGGGGTGGGATGTTCTCACTAACTTCCTTAATGATGAAAATTACGAATTCCTCCGCGAGGGGGCACTGCGGGCTTAGCGCGGACGGCTCAGCAGGATCAAACTGGGATCCCAAGCGCAAACATTCGCGGGAGGTAGACAGAGAGGCTAAGAGGAAAATTCCAATGCAACCTGAACGGCCCTCAGACTCAGAGTTGGGAAGAATCTAGGAGGGATGGGCTATGGGAAACGGAGAATGTCTGCCCCAGTCATGAATTCTACCTAGATGTTACCAGGTTTTCAGATTTTGTTCAAGTGAAGCTGAAAACCTGCAATTCCTTAAACATCTCTGCTTTCCTACGTTGGCAACGAATTCAGTATTTTTAAATGGTTGCACAAGCCCAACACATCGCCTGCGAGGGTCATCTGTTTGTGGCTTTATGGGTCTTTGATAGCAAATGTTTGATAAATGGGATCTGATTTACTTAACTTCATTGTGGTGTATTTAGATTGTAAGTTAATATATTCACAAAGTTTTAGGACATTGCCTGGCACCTAGTAGGTGCTGTGAAGGTGCCAGCATTGCATCCTTGCAGGACTGTGAGTTAGTGGCAGTGGTCCTGTTTCTACCAAACTCCTGGCACCTAGCCATTTAGTAGGTGCTCAGAAAATATTTGTTATGAATCAATGGATCTCCATGTTTTTAATTAAAACAAAACACACCGGAGGCACAGAAAGATGACCTCACTGCTCTGGAATTCAACCGCAGGAATATTAGATTCTTAACCAAGCCAGGTTTTGAAGGTGCAGGTAAGAGGAAGTTTCTGTCCTAAGATGTTCAAGGTTGGACAGGATGAGGGAGAACCTCCCTCAGCAAGGTGCAATAAGAGATAAAAGCAGATGCTGCTGTTGGAATGGAAGGTGCCTTGTTAGGTTTGGGAATGTGGAGTGGGGCCTGCCATGGGACCTCCTGGGGGAGATGTGGGATAGGAGGGGAAAGGGACAGTGGAAACACAAGCTTGGTTCTTGGGGTTGAGACCCAGCTAGGGTCTTGTGGGGGTGGGGGGTGAAATACATAAAGTTTCCATTCAACAACCATAGATGGATGCTGACTCAGAGCCAGACACTTACGCTCACCTGTCTCCTAGTCTCACCGATTATAAGAAACACAGGGTGTTAATTGCCTGGTATGTACCAGGCCCTGTGCTAAGGGCTTTGTCTGCATAACATAATCCAGTCCCTGCAACTCCTCTGAAGCAAGCTCGCTTGTAATTCCCATGCTGCACAGATGGAAGGCCAGCTGGAGGCAGAGTGAGGAGCCTGCCCAAGGTCCCACTGCTAAGTCAGTGGCTAAGGAGAGCGGAAGGACAACCCTCTCGTTCAGTCTCAGTTTTTCTTCCAAAGGCTCTCACATGTTTTATTTTCTGTTCACTCTTACGATTGCACCACTCACTCTGGGCTGTCACCTGCGTTCCCACTGGTTTTTCTGCTCAGTGAGCTCGATGAGGTCAAGAAGCAGCTCTCTCTTGTTCATAGTTATCCCCTCCTCTAGGAGATCCATTGATTCATAGCAAACATTTTCTTCACTCACCACTACAGTCTAGGGCAGACACCTCCTCTGGGCCCTCAGAGCCTGTTGTGTGTCCTCCATCCGGGCGGGGCTTGGACCCTCTGCCTGTACCTCCCCCATCCTGCCCTGACCACTTTGCCTGAGCTTCCCAGGCTAGCCCACTCTGGGCTGTCGCTGGCTACTGGTTTGTCTCCTCACGGGACTAGGGGCTCCATGAGGATAGGGCCCGAAGCTCCCTCCATCCCTGCTATATCCCAGCATCACCCAGCCCAAAGCTTGGCACAGAAAAGATATCAGTGAATATTTGTTTGTTGCATAGATAAACCAATGAGTTTCAAAGTTGCTACCATTGTCCCTTCCATGTTACTGAGGAGGATATAGAATTCCAGGTAATTTAGGGGATTTGTCCAAGTCATATGTAACTAGTGAGGAAAAACCCAGGGAATTGAATCTGGGCAGCTTGAGTCCAAAGCCTGTATCCTTATCCAACATGCCGAATGCCTAGTGGGCTGAAAACCAGCTTTTCACGAGGTTGAAATCTTCCTGTTTTTTCCCCCCAGACTTATCCTTTCCTTCTAGAAAGCTTTGGGTACGAGGAAGGCGAGCAGGCAGAAGGGTGGGGGAGTGGGGGGAGTGGAAAGGAGGAAAAGGTGGGCTGGAGAATGAGGGCTGGGCTGATTTGAAGAAAAGAGTGGGGAAGTCTTGAGGGGTTTCTCTAGTCTAGACCCATAGGGGGCAGCCGGAGTCGGCTACCGGAGGTGAAGGGGCGGAGAAAGGGTGGGGACAGGCGCGGGGCGCAGCGAGATAGCTGCAGCAGCGGCCCGCAGGAGTTTCCCACAATGCAGCGCGGCGCGCTGTCCCCGGTGCTGATGCTCAGCGCAGCCCCGGAGCCTCCACCGCGCCCGCCTCCCGCACTCTCCCCGCCGGGCCCGGGTCCCCGCCATGGCTCCGCTCGGCCTGGTCCTGCCCCGGAATCGTCGGGGGGCCTGGGCGCGGCGCTCGATAGCAGCCTTCGGGCCGCTGTGGCGTTCAAGACGGAGGGTCAGCGCTGTTACCGAGAGAAGAAGTTCCGGGAAGCCATTGGCAAGTATCATCGGGCGCTGCTGCAGCTGAAGGCGGCGCAGGGGTCCCGCGCTGGAGGCCTGCCCACCCCCGCCCCCGGGCCCGCCGCCGGCCCCGGGCCGGCCCGCCTCAGCGAGGAGCAGCGGCGCCTGGTGGAGAACACGGAGGTGGAGTGTTACGACTCTCTCACGGGTATGCGGCCGGCCGTCGGGAGCGCAGAGGGTGCTGATGCGACGGGGTGGGCGTGAGGGGCAATCCTGAGGCCTTGGGCGGGGAGGGGCGAGCGGAGGCTTGAAGGGACCAGCGCTGGGGTCTGGGGGGAGACATCAGAACTTACCGAAGAGAGGGCTTGGGGAAGGAGGGACCACGGGGACGGGAGGCGCCGGGATGCAGGAAATGGGCTTTGGGCTGCCACCGCGAACCTCAGGTGAGAAAGCCTTGCCCTGGGTGCGCCATTTAAAGCCTCACCACTCGCCTGAGGTGGCCCTCAGTACTATCCCCCCCCCCTCCCCACTACGAAAATAGCCGAGCGCCAGTCTGTGTTCACACCCTCTAGCGGCCGTGCAGACTGATCCCATTCTGATTGGTCCGAGGCTCTGGTGGCCTGAAGAAGCCCTTAGGCCCGGCTCAGCCGTGGGAACGGGTGGGGATTCCCTCGCAGCCTGAAATCCATGCTCCTCGCGGTCCTGTGAAGTCTAGGGTTGCCGGCAGGCTCTGAGAGCGCGGGTCCTGGTGCCCCGCAGCCTGCCTGCTGCAGTCGGAGCTGGTGAATTATGAGCGGGTGCGCGAGTACTGTCTCAAGGTGCTGGAGAAGCAGCAGGGCAACTTCAAGGCCACCTACCGCGCTGGCATTGCCTTCTACCATCTGGGTGACTATGCGCACGCCTTGCGCTACCTGCAGGAGGCCCGAAACCGGGAGCCCACAGGTGAGGGGGGTGGGGGCTGGGCGGAGCAGGGGGAGGGGCTGGAACAGAGCAAACAAGGGCGGGAAGGCCAGGGCACAGCTACTTCAGGGAGTGCTGGACCACACACCCCACCTCCACCTCCTCCTACTCCCCCACCCATCCTCCCACCCATGCTTCCTGGATATTCACCCACCCACCTCTCATCTATTTATTGACTCATTTTGATGCTTCCCATTTAGCCCATTCCCTATGCACTCACTCCATGCCCCCCCCCCCCCCCCGCAGCAACACACATTCATTCACCCACTCCCTCACTGACCCACTCCCGCATCCACCCTTCTCCCAGCCACCGCTTGTGAAGCACTTGCTGGGAGTTAGACCCCCGGGTGGAAATGGCAGGACATTTGCGGGGGGTGGGACAGGGGATGGCAGAGCTGGAGATGGTTCCTTGCCCTCTGGGGTGTGTTGGTGTGTAGACAGACACAATAGGAGATTCTGTATTAAGAGCCAATGAAGCCAGACCGGTTTGGCTCAGTGGATAGAGCGTCAGCCTGCGGACTGAAGGGTCCCAGGTTCGATTCCGGTCGGGGGCATGTGCCTTGGTTGCGGGCACATCCCCAGTGGGAGGTGTGCAGGAGGCGGCTGGTTGTTTCTCTCTCATCGATGTTTCTAGCTCTCTGTCCCTCTCCCTTCCCCTCTGTAAAAAATCAATAAAATATATTAAAAAAAAAAGAGCCAATGAAGAGGAACACAACCTGCATGATACGGGCTGTGGGAGCGGAGCCGGTAAGTGGCAGGAGAACAGGCTTTGCAGATGTCACTGAGGTAAGCAGAGTGTAACAGGAGTCTGAGCAGAGCAGCCCTGGCAGGGGAATAGCAAGTGCTACTCTGGAGGTGTGACATGCCCCCTCCCTAGTTGGGTCTCGGGCTTTTGAAGAAGGGGTCTGACAATACCAGCTGGGGAGCCACTGAAGGCTGGGGACAGCCAGGTGTGAACTGAGGTGCTACAGACGTCACCCAGGACACCCAGATAATGCCCTGCCCACCTTCCCTGCAGACACCAATGTCCTACGCTACATCCAGTTGACCCAGCTGAAGATGAGCCGGTGCAGCCTGCAGAGGGAAGACAGTGGGGCCCAGCCTCGGGATGTCATTGGCTGAGGCCAGCCTATGGGGACTGTCCCTACCCCCACCCTCTCCCATCTCACTGTGTAACTTTCCTGACTCGTGTGTTGGCTAGTAAAGCACTTATCATAACCTCTTTGTGTGATGTTCTTGTGGGAACCAGGGAGGGGACACAGGCTGCGCTTCACCCTCTGGACCTCAGAAACCCAGAGGGGCCCAGGAGGAAGCAAGGGTGGGGGGCAACCCTAGGGGATGAGCCAGGATTAGGGAAAGATACACAG